GGGCTGTTGGCAATTTACATCCCGCCCATCCACATAACAACGCTCCCTGTTCTCCCTGGCCTGGCCTGCAGATCTAAAATCTCCCTGCCTCTCCACCCACTGTGGACCTGCATCACCTGCCCGAGGACTGATGTACTCATCTGTGGGGGTAATGGGCTGCGGGCCCACTGGCTGTCGTGGGGGGGCATCCAAAGGGGCCCGTGGTTAATGAACAGACTCCGCCAACATCTCTGTTGTCTCTTTAAAGCTGCTTAGAGCCAGATCTGGTGGCCTAAGTCAGAGGCAGGGGAAGACAAGACTGGAGTTGGGATCCTGGGGTGTCATTAGCTCCCCACTTTGTCTCTGGTCATGAACTGGAGCTGTTGGAGCATTCCTGCAGCTCCATGTCTGGGAGTCAATCACTCAGCGAGAACTTGGCCCGCACAACCTCTGCCCTCGTCTTGGGCCCCTGCCAGCTGAGAATCCCCATTGGGAGGAGCCCCATCATTCAGAAGCTCAACTTTCAATTCTCAGAGGATATTGGCTTAGGAGCAGATGCCTGAGATCCAACCTCATCAATGAATCCTGTCTAAACCAAAATTCACCGCACGTTTTTGTTTTTTTGCTTTAGTCTTCCATAAAATGGTTGCATTAAATTTTAATTTGACAACAATCATGTGTTGCTACCCTGGGGAGCCTGGTATTTGGGAGTGTGGGGAGAGTTTGGAATAAAATCCTAATTATCTGGAAGGTTTGCTGTGCGGATCCTGAGCGCTATTCACGCAAATATCTCCAGATCGCCCTCTTCCAAGTGCACGGCAGAATTTCACTTCTCCCCCAGCTGTTGGTGCAGGGTGGTCCACATGACACACTCTGGGTGATATGTTTTGAGTGGAAATAGCAGGTGTCACTTCTAGGCTGGGAGTTTAATGACCAGCGTGAGGCCCCTAAGCTCTCCTCTGCCTCGGCACAGCTGTAGGCAACGCTCAAGGTGGCTGCTCTCCGACGACTGGGTCCCGAGGTGAGTCGTCAGCAAACTCCCCTGTTGACCCCTGTGGATATGCAGCTTGTTCGAGAAATAGCCCTGCGTTGTTTGAGCTGCTGAGATCTGGCCGTTTGTTTCTGCAACATCACCCAGGCTCTCCTGACTGGTACGTTTAGATAATAAAACACCGCATGCCATATACTCAGGCTGAATTCTGAACGGGGAATGCCCTCCTCTCCATGAGCTAGGAGAGAATCACCTAGTGAATCTTGAGTTTCAGTCTGTGGTCCACAAAAGGACAAGGCCCAAGTCAGAGTGAATTCTGTTCAGACAAGAGTGTTGTCTCAAGGCAAACCTCGGGACGGAGGCTGACTTCAAGGACGTCAGAGGACCTAGCACGTCCCTTCCCGGGGCCACTTTGTGTTTCCATGGTTCCGCCTCCCCATGGCCTGCACCAGCACGGACGCCTGCCCGCCTCAAGGTTGTGACCACAAGACTCCCTTAGTCCCGTGGATGCCTTCCCACTTGGTATCCGCAATTCCAGTGAGGGTTTTCCCAGGCTGGCAAATCAGCGCTCTGGACTGCAGGCCCCCTTGCGGCTTCTGACGGGCTGGCATCTGAGGAAGCCCCTGGGAAGCCAGAGCTCTGTCAGAGGGAAGATGGTCGTGGTGGAAGGGGGGTGGCTCTTCTCCTTGCACGGTCCTGTGTTAGAGCCACATGACTGCAGCTCATCTCACAACTCACTGCTGAGCACTCAGTATATTTAAGAAATCAAATGAATACCAGTTTGCTGGACTGGTGCATTTCCCTCCCTGCAAAGTACCCCCAAATTTTCCCAAGTCAATGTCCTTGTACCTCAAGTGAAATGTAGCCAAATATGAATGCACGCTGGGGACGTATCATTTCCTGCTAAACCTTAGAATGCAGCACAATGTATTTACATGAACAAAATAATGCTTCCTTCTGCAAAACCACTTTAACATCATGTTCAATAGACATATAATGAAAAGTGCTTGATTGTTTTTTTCTTGAGTGACAGTGGCTAATAAATTTGATTCTGGAGCCAAATCGTCTGGGCTTGAAGCCCAGATCCATGCTTTGCCCTTGATGTGACCCTGAACAAGGCATTCGCCCTCTCACTGCCTCAGTTTCCTCATAGTTTAATTAGATCATGCCAGTTGCTATTGGTCTTAATCGGTTAATGGCCATAAAGGACCTAGAACAGGGTCTGGCACAATCTTACCAACTGTGTAAATGTTAGCCGTTCGTATTTGTATTCCAAAAGCCATCCTTGTAAAATGGGGAAACATCTTACAACTTGGCATTTTATAAACAGAAAAATACAGTATTTCTTAAGGAGGGACAGGGGAATGGCTATTTATCAAGAACAGACCAGTGCTTATCAAACTTGCTGCATGTGAGACTCTCCCAGAATGATGATAAAAAACAGAACTCCAGCTTCCTCTCAGAACAGGCGATTTATCTGGCGAACACCCTGTAGCCAGCTGTGGCCTCAAGTCCCAACGGCTGGGCCCTTCCTGGTGATGGTTTTCTGTCTTTCTTGTACAAACTTCCTGAGAAAGAATAGAAAGTTTTGACGAGGCAGAGGAGCAAGAGGTCTTTCGGCTTCTCAGGAGAGTCTACCAAGAGGCACAGAACCTCCATGCTGGATAGGCTAGTATGCCTGACGTTTAGAAATGTATGCTTGCAAGAAGAGCACTGGACCAAGAGCCAGAGACCCCAAAGTTCCCCTAAACACTCAACATGGATACACACACATATACACACGAACACACACATAGGCACATGCCCACGGACACACCTATAAATGCACACATGGACAAATACGCACATGTACACATATGTACACACTTAAATGCACTTTCGGACACACAAATGCACATACGTGGACACACATATGAACACACACACTCAAATACACACACAGAGGAACTTCCTTGGAGTTCCAGTGGTTAAGAATTTGCGCTTCCACTTCAGGGGACACAGGTTCGATCCCTGGTCAGGGAAGTTCCACATGCCACGTGATGTGGCCAAAAACCAAAATGCACTCACAGAGACACACACGCATACAGACATGTGCACACACGCCAAGAGCTCCCTGAAGCCCAAGGGTCAGTATCTTATTCATCTCTGTATAGTGAGGGACCAGCACAAAGCCAGCTCTTTTTTAAAAAAATTATTATTTATTTATTTATTTATGGCTGAGTTGGGTGCTGCGCGCAGGCTTTCTCTAGTTGCAGCGAGCGGGGGCTACTCTTCGTTGCGGTGCGCAGGCTTCTCATTGTGGTGGCTTCTCTTGTTGTGGAGCACAGGCTCTAGGCACGTGGGCTTCAGTAGTTGTGGCTCGCGGGCTCAGTACTTGTGGCACACGGGCTTAGTTGCTCCGCGGCATGTGGGATCTTCCCGGACCAGGGCTCGAACCCGTGTTCCCTGCATTGGCAGGCGGATTCTTAAGCACTGCGCCACCGGGGAAGCCCCACAAAGCCAGCTCTTAATGCATGTTCCCACAATTATTCACTCAACAAATATTTACTGAGCACCAAGTAAACATGAGGCACTGGCGAGACAGCGTGAAGTCGACAGAACCCCCTGCCTCTGGCCGCTCAGTTTCCAACGGAGCCCGGCTGCCTCATCTATAAGACGCGGGCTTGGGGCTAGATTAGAGGTGGGAGTGGAGACGCGGTGAGCTGGGTTTGCTCTCCCCTGAGGTCTGAGGACACGGACCTGGAGCACCTGACGCCCAGGGGTCTGCGCCTTTTCCCCCTCCTGGTGGGTTTCGCAGTTCCGCCTGGAGGTGCCCCTAGGTACCACCGACTCTCAAGCGCGGCCCACCCGTCCTTGGACTCAGCTCTCCCCAGCCTTCAGCCCCAGAGAGGGGCGAGGGGAGGGAGGCCGGGAGTAGATTCAGTTTGGCCTAGGGAAGGGGGAGACGAGCCACCGAGGTGGCTTTGACCCTACTGTCCCCCCTTCTCCTCATAAAGACGCACCCGCCTACCCCTGCTCATCCGCGCGGACTACACCGCCTTGACCAGGCGCTCCCCAGGACCCCGCTTCGGTCGGTCAAGTCGGTCGGTCAAGTCTGGGGAAGGGGCGTGGAGAGAGACTGCGCACGTGCTCCGCGCCCCCCTCCCCCGGCCCCCGCCCGGATGCCCTTGGTCGGGGTATCCTGAGCGCGAGGCCCCGCCCTACCCTGCTCGGGCGCCGGGAGCGCGCTCCGGACCTTGCGCCCCGCAGGGGAGGGGAGGGGAGGGTGGTCCCGGAGGGGGCGTCCTGGGAGGGTGGGCCTGCGGGGGAGGGTGCGGGCCCCGCTTGCATGCTGATGAGCTGGGCGGCCGCGTCACTCCGC